GGGTTCATGTCTGGACTCGATGAGCTTAAAGGGCTTTTCCAATTGAGGCCATGCTGGGACTGAGATGTCACCACATGCTGTCACACCTCCCTGGGAAGCCTTTGGGAGCAGAGGGGCAACAAGAGCAGCCTCAGGGCTGATACCCAGGGACCACCAAGCCACTGTACTCTCATGCTAGCCAAGGGGACGCTGGTGGCCAGCCTGGCACCACCTCCCCACCAGGCAGGGCCAAGGAGGGACGAGCAGGGACTCACCCAGCAGCCTGTAATCCCCACGGGCCTTGTGGGCTCGCACAAAAGCCTGGATTTTAATTACGGCTTTAACCTGCCAAGACAAACAAAGAGGTGGGAGATGTTTCCTCACAGCACCCGTGAAACACGCAGGGAGCAGAGAAGAGCTGGACAGGAACCCAGCTGCCTGCTCCCACCGCTGGGAAGGTGCTGCTGCCCCGGATGAGGGTCTGCACAATCCAGGATGGATTTCAGGATTTCATCTCCTGAGCAGTCACTTCCCCTCCCCTTGCTGCGTTTCACACGCGGCCACAGCTCCGCTTCTGCGGCCAACACATCCCTTTCCCCCCAGATTTCCTCCCCCTCTAACGGGCATCGTGAGGTCCTTGTTGGTTTTGGATGGAACTGGAGTGGCTTTTCACTCCTCACACTTTACAGAACCTGATAATTTGGCTTCCAGACCCATCAGGCACCTTTTCCTTCCCATTTATCCCTGTGCAAAGATGCACCAACTTCTCTCTCCAGCTGCACTGCGAGCTCCCAGGACAGAGGTCCAACCACACGCTCAGAACCATCCCACGCTGTCCCCACAGATGGTGACGTGGTCCCAGGAGCTGTTTTACTCCCCATCCCATCACTCACGTTCTGCCTGAAGTAGCGCAGCCTCTCCTGGTACTTTCTCCGAGCTCGCCACATCCTCACGCCCGCCTGGATCTGGGAGAGATGTTCCAGCAGTTGGATACTGGAAGGACTCACTTGGCCAAAGCGAGCGGGTGGAAAGGGGGGAAAACCACAGGGATTTTTGCCAGACGTTCTCCACCAGCCCAAGCTCCTCAGCCATACCCTGGTCCAGTTGCCATATTCCCCCCCAGTTGCCTCTTTACTGGGCAGAGAGGGAAATGCCCTGTTCATGGCAGAGTGAGCAGGTGGCGATACCCAACGTGGGAGCAAAGGGTGAAGGAAGAGTTTTCCAAACCTTGATGGCAGCATCTGCGTTGGCTCGCAGGTAGCGCAGCCTCTCCAGGTAGGCTCTGCGCTGCTGGTACCCTCTCCAACAAGCCTGGGCATGAGAAAAGACAATCAGCTATCGAGATCTGTGCGAGGTCACCACAGATCTGCCCCCTCCCTGGAAGTGTTGAAGGCCAGGTTGGATGAGGCTTTGAGCAACCTGGTCTAGTGGAAGGTGTCCCTGCTGATGGCAGGGGGGTTGGGACTGGATTAGCTTTGAGGTCCCTCCCACCCAAACCATTTTATGATTCTATGACCTCAGGTTGGTTTTTCAGGCAAAAAGAGAGAATAAGAGGATGGAAAAAGAGATGAATCCAGCACCCAAAGGGAGAAAACCAAACCCCGTATCATCCTCTGCATCACCTGGGGTGAGTCCTGGCTATTAAGTGTACCAAGCGGTGAGCACTGGTGCTCCCTGGACCAGGAGGATGCTGCACGTAGATACTCATGGGTTGCATTCCCCACTACGTTGAGGTGGCTACGTCACCTGGATCCTGATGGCAGCCGGCCACTGTTCTCGCAGGACGTGCCGACGTGCTGCGAAATCCCGGCGGAC